ATTGAGTTATTTACACTAACACCTCCTAAGATTTCTTGTGTTTTCACAAAACCTCCTCAGGTCTCAAAAATTACACGAACACCCCTAAGGTTTAAGTTTGTTTTCACAAAACCCCTTTTCGTTGATTGTTTGTCCAAAATTTGATGATTTTATTGGAAAAACTTATGCAAATAACAAAATTAACCTCAATGAAGTATATGCAATTTAATCTCAAAGGCCAACTTTGTCATTTGGAGAATGTTTTTGTATAAAATCATCAATCTTTGGATGAAATATCAATGAAAATGCGCGAATTCGTCGCGCAATTCGTGCCGCAGATTTTGCGCGACGAAGGTCTCTTCGTTGCGCAATATGTATCCCTAACGTTTGCGCAACGAACAATATTGCGCGACAAAATAGTAGTTGTCGCGCATATCATTTTCGCGCAACGAAAGCGTTCGTTGCTCAAGAGTAAATTATATGTATAAAATATTTTTATTCGTTTTTTTATTTTGTAAATGTGACTTTGCGCGACGAGATACATTTCGTCGCGCAAAATTAATATATATTATATAAATTTAATATTACGGTTTTTTTCTTTTTTTATTTTGTACAAAAATGATTTTGGTTTTTTTTTGGGTAATAAAATGGAATTGAAAAAAAAAGAATTGTAAATGCATCTATTATATAAAATAAAATAAATGTATATAATACAAATTCCAAAAATTTTAAAAATAATTATGAAAATAAAAAACTAATCAAATAATGTTCCAAAATCTACATTGTCGTTTGGCACATGCAGCTCAGAGGTTTGGGTAGGGGCCGTGGTCTACTGGGGATGCTCTGGGTGGACGGGCTCGGAGGTCGACGCATGAAACTACGGGATTGGAATGCCGGATCGTGCAAGGGACTCCAGAATCACTGACATCTGACTCTGAAGCGTGGCCACCTGTGCAGTCAAAGCAGTTACCTGACTTGACTGCGCTGCTGGACGGGGTCTGGGTTCCCTCTGCCGGGCATTCCCCATCCCTCGACAATATGTCCCCGGCCTCCTCCCGAGAGTCTGATCCAACGTCTCCTTCAGGATCTGAAACCCAGCATCCTATGGAGGATCCACAGACTCGATTGGAGTCTCGAGAGGAAGCTGGGAGGCGGACTCCTGAAGAGCCAATTGGCTCCTCTCCACCATCGTCGTCTATTTAACATAACATAAAATATAAGTTAAAACATTCATATAATAACGTTTAAACTTGAATGCGAAACATAAGAATTAAAATTAAAAAATACTTACATGAAGGGACTCGGCCAACTCATTCCCAAGCCGAACATAAACGTCGTCAAAGACGTCGATCTCTGGGAATTTGGACCCCTCCCCCCCTAAATTGACAAGAGAAGAAAAATATTAGTACGAAAAAATAAATTAAGAATAATGACATATTAAAAATTAAAATACAATTATTTTATTATTACCCGGTGCCGTGCATCCATCCTATAGGAGAAGGGCCTAGAACCTGAATGGTGGAGAAGAGTCTTCTTCTTCCTATTGCCCTTATTGACTTTGGCTTTATTCTGTTATACAAAAAATAAACAGTATTAGTTGAAATTGAAATGAAATATAAAAAATGAAATAAACATTAATAAGAAGTATATAATAAATTTGAAATTCATATTACAAATTACCACAAAATCGGGCGCCTGAAAATGAGCGCAGAGCCACGCCCAACTATCATCTTGCCCCTCAAGCTATTTCGGGCAACCCTCCTGAAGAGCGACTTCCGGAGCCTCAAAAGCCTCAAAATAGTGGTGCAAGTCGCTCGTCCACTGCTTGTACCTCTCAGAGAAGAGTCTGTTAACGTACGCCAACGACACGTTGTCGAGGTCCTCCAAGTTGTAGTTCGTCTGCAATAAATTCATTACATACATTAAGTAATATAAATATACAAAGTTTGAAAGAAAAAGAATTAAACGGTAGGATGCATACCGACAACTGGCCGCGAACCTCCGTCTTGATCTCGTCAGGCATGACCTTCCAAGACTTCCATTGCATCGGGCAATGGGTACGCAGGACGTGACCAATGTCTTGGCCCAAGGAGCTATGCAACTCCGGCGTCGGTGCAGCCCGATGTCGCTTGTCATATACGATGTTGATACGACTGTTGGTCACCCAGGTGACCTTTGCTGTCTTCAACTGCTGACACGGCCCGCGGGTGTTCTTCTTAGCTGCAAAGAAATATGACATTAATAAAAAACAAATGTAACTATAAAATACAAAAATAAAAACAAAAACAAAAAAGAACTGGAGTTGTAGGAAATCTATACCTGGCTGTGGGCCCGAAGCATCAGTCGATGTGGTGTCGGTGGTGCTGACAGGCCGATGACACCACCTGGCGCTAACAGGCTGCGCCACTGATGAAGCCGATGAAGCTGGCGCCTGGGACCCCACGGACCAACTGCCAACTGGTCCATCTGTGCTGGCGCAGTGGCAGCAGATGCCGACTGAGGCGGGGGGTCAGAACTCGGTGTAGTCGTTACCGACCTACGACGTCTAATCAGGTCTGACATTTGCACAATTTCATTAATACACATACAAATTCCAAAAATTATACTAATATTTGCAAGCACATATAATTTATTCAAATCCTTAACTAATTAATTAAAAGCATAGACCTAGGGTTTGCAAGTTCGGAGTATCCGAGACTCTGATCTACGATCCGTCGAATCCTACACGATCCTAGAAATACAACGTACAACATGCATGAGTTTGAGTTCGATCCAACGGTCCAAACATATCAAACCCGGAAATCGCACAATAGGAAAAATCCGTTCGAGACTCAAACGGTAACCAAATTCCAATCTAAACACATCTACTCGCTCGGGACAACCAGGGGATTGCACTGGGACTCAATGCACCCCTGCTACAGTACCCACACACCACCACACGCGCCGGCAGTGCGTTGGTGTCCAAAGCGATAACAATTGCCGGAATTTTCTACAAATTAAGGGCCAAGGTTCCTACCCTAGGTTCAAAACATGAATTGAAGGCACTTTTGTTCTCGGACCTACCTCGAAAAACGGCCGGAAGTGGCCGGAATTTGAATTCAAAAACCGGCCGAAAGCTAGGGTTTCAAATTCACTTCCCTATTCAAACAATTATGCAAATCCTATCCAACCATCAGCTAAAGCATAAAAAATAGCCCAGAAACCATACCTCAATTTCCGGCGGGAGGCTTGACGGTGACGGCTGGGGAAGCTCCGGGGTGATGGCGGGGAAGCTACGGGGTTGGAAGGCACTGGGCTGAGGTGACGGCAGAGAGAGAGAGAGATTTCCAGAAATCGGATCTGGGGAAGAAGGAGGTGCTCGCGTGGTTTCTGAACGTTTATTCGAGTTTGCGCGACGAAGAGACAAACTGCATCGCACAAAATATTTTAAATGAATCTTGCGCGACGAAAGTCAAAATTTTTGTCACGCAATGATGTGATACTGCCCAAAATTTGGGATTAGGGTTTATGGTCAGTGCGATTTTGCACGACGAAGATATGAAAACCGTTGCGCAAGGGTACCTGGTATCACTTTGTGCGACGAATAACGACAGCTGTCGTCCCGCAATGTTCTGAGTCCGCTAAAATTTGGGATTAGGGTTTAGGGTTTGTGCGGTTTTGCACCATGAATATAACCGTCGTCGCGCAAACGTTTGATTTGCTGCCAAAAATTTCGACCAAGTGTTGAGTGGGAAAAATGAAAGGTCTGGATGAGATTGTGCGACGAAGACGAGCAATCGTCGCGCGAGGCTATGTTGTGAGCACATTGCGCGACGATGGATCACCCTTCGTCGAGCAAACTTGTGATTTGCCAAAAATTTCAACTAATTGTTGAGCGGGAAAAATGAAAGGTCTGGATGAGATTGCGCGACGAAGACGAGCAGTCGTCGCGCGAGGCTATGTTATGAGCACATTGCGCGACGATGGGTCACCCTTTGTCGTGCAAACTTGTGATTTGCCAAAAATTTCGACTAAGTGTTGAGTGGGAAAATGAAAGGTTTGGATGAGATTGCGCGATGAAGATGAGCAGTCGTCGCGCAAGGTTCTCTATCTGTTGGTTTTTCAGCTCACCTTCTCTGTACACCTTAGTTTTCTGTCTTCGCCTTGACTTGGAGTTATGATAATATGGCATCAGTTATGATGAAGTAATGCAAATGAGATTTCACAGTGCTGGTTTTAGATTACACTTGACTTGCCATACACTCTCTTCTCAATAAATTTCTTTTTTCCCTTGTTATGATATTGTAATTAGCTGCTGATTTAAAACTGTATTTTGTGCTTAAGTATTTCATAAGTAAATACCGATTTTTCTTTTACAAAATTATTATAACAGAGATATAACCTCCAAAAAAAAAAAGGCAAACCACAACATCAAATGCATAACCTTACCCTTTCCTGGTAAATGCTCTACTAGCTGTCAATCATTTACAAATTCATACGGTGTCAATTTTACGAGTAATTATAGAATACTTTAAGGTTAAAAAATTAATTTTTGGTCAGTTGGGTTAGGGTCGAAAATGCTTTTGGTTTGGTTTTAATTTTCCAAATTTGATCACCACATTTGCAACATGTGCCTCAATTCCGTAAGTTTCATTAATTAAAAAATATTTTATGTTAAATTAAAAATAATTACTTTAATATAAAATTTAATATTTAAAAACAAAAGACAAAAACAAAAGAAGCCCTGTCCCATGTTCCCCACCGACCCAAGATCGTTCGATCAACTCAATTATTCCCATCAATAGGTAGCTCTCGAGCCTTCACTTTCATAGACGATTATTTAGCTTGACTTTGAGGAAAAGTACGTCTCATAATATTTTTGTCCCAATCCGCACACCTTGTTTGAAAATTAATCTTGTCATGTCATTGCTCAATAATTTAGTCCAATCTATAAGTTTTGGCTCTCTCGCTCTCACTTTACCTTTCATGCATGTTTAGTTTACAAAGATCAACAAAATTCTCGATTATCAAGAAAAAATATCATGGGGTTACCCCTAAGCCTTTTTAATGTGTCCATTTCCAAGCTTTCAAAAGTAGTTCTGCTGTTCTTTTATCTTGTGGTTGCGAACTCTTTATACTCTTTGCAGCAGCAGCCATCTTGCCATGATGTGGAGAGCTCTGCCTTGCTGCAATTCAAGGAAAGCTTTGTCATCAAGGCATCTGCTTCGGGTTATTTTGGGTCTTATCCAAAGGTTTCATCTTGGAAACTAGCTGAAGGAGAAACTTTCAACTGCTGCTCATGGGACGGTGTCGATTGTGATGAGGAGACGGGTCATGTGATTGGCCTTGATCTCAGCAGCAGTTGTCTCTACGGCTCTATCAGTTCCAACAGCAGCCTCTTCAGTCTTGTTCATCTACAGAGACTAAACCTCGCTGATAATGACTTCAATTACTCTCTAATTCCTACTAAAATTAGGAATTTGCCAAAGCTCACTTATCTCAACCTCTCTGTGTCTGTCTTTTCTGGTCAAGTCCCAACGGAAGTTACACAGTTGTCCAAGTTGTCGTCGCTTGATCTATCTCTCAATATTGACCCATTTTCTTGGGAAAATTTGTTGAAACTTGAAGCATCAACTATGAAAAGCCTAGTTCGAAACTTCACTAGCCTAGAAGAACTTGATCTTAGTCGTGTTGACATATCTTCAGGAGTAGCCAATTACATGGCAAATTTGTCACTTTTGACATCTCTCAACTTAACAAATTGTGGCATGTTTGGTGAATTCCCCGCAATAGTTTTCAGATTACAAAACTTGAAAATTCTTAGCATGAGATTCAACCAAGGTATCACTGGCTATCTGCCTGAATTTAATCGAAGTAGTCCTCTCATGGTACTGGAACTGGCAGGAACAAGTTTTTCTGGAATTCTACCTTCTTCATTCGAAAAGCTTGAATCCTTGAACAAGTTAGATGTGAGTGAATGCAACTTCTCAGGTATGGTTCCCCTCTCACTTGGTAATCTTAGGCAGCTCAGGTATATCTTGACCTTTCACTAAACAAATTTAATGGTCCAATCCCTGCTTCCTTGTCAAACCTTACTCAACTCACATATCTCCAACTTTCTGATAATAATTTTAGTAGTGGTCCCTATTCTTGGCTTGGTAAGCAAACCAAACTTACTCAACAGCTCACTAAACTTGATCTTTCCTATAATGGACTAAGTGGTACGATCCCATCTTGGCTAGCTAACCTTAGCAGACTAGAATCTATAGACCTTGGTATAAATAAACTGAGTAGTTCAATCCCCAAGTCATTCTTCACTCTTAGGCATCTCAACACCCTTTATCTAGATGAAAATGACTTGCGCGGTTCAGTCGAGATTCTTAAGCTACAAAATGTCACCCGTCTTCAACTAGCTGGTCCCAAGTTGGAAATATTGCTCACTGAATCCAGAATTGTGAATGCGACTGTCCCAAACTTTACGCTTCTTAAATTAGCATTGTGCAACATAAAAGAGTTCCCCAATTTCCTAAGGTATCAACAAAACTTGGATTGGTTGGATATTTCTAGAAACAAATTGCATGGCCAAGTGCCGAAATGGTTTTTGAACACAAGCATAGAAACTCTGGGGTTTCTGGACCTGTCTGTAAACTTCCTTTCCGGCTTTGACCATCAAAACTCTATACTCCTTCCCTGGCTTAACCTAAAAGTTTTGAGGCTTTATTCTAACATGCTACATGGACTTTTACCAATACCTCGACCAAACATCATATACTATGGCATTTCAGACAACAAGTTAGATGGAGAAATTTCACCATCGATTTGCAATCTAAGTTCTCTTCAGTACCTTGATTTGTTGAATAATAAGTTGAGTGGCATGCTTCCTCGGTGTCTAGGAACCTTCAGTGATGATCTACGAGTTTTACGTCTTGGAAACAACTCCTTCCGTGGGTTTCTTCCCCAAGCATACTCCAACACAAGCAATCTGAGGATGATTGATGTTAGTGATAACAAATTGCAAGGACAATTGCCGAGGTCATTGGAAAACTGTGTGATGCTTGAGTTTCTTGTTCTGTCAAACAATGAGTTCAATGATGTTTTTCCCTTTTGAGTTTCTTCACTTCCCTGAGCTGCGTATTCTTGATCTCTCTTATAATAATTTCAGAGGCGAATTTCCATGTGAATACATATTTTATGGGAATGCCATGAGAGGTGTCTCTTTAAACCAATCCAAATATTTGACCACCTACACATATATTCAAACCGGTGTTGGACATGGACAGGCTTTCATTTATGATTTCCAAACCACCATAACAAATAAAGGTGTGAGGAGATACTACCCAAAGATTCAAGAAGATTTTACATCCGTTGATCTCTCAAGCAACAAATTCAAAGGGAATATTTCTGAATTCATTGGGAACCTAAAGGGACTCCGATCGCTCAATGTTTCCAACAACACTCTCAGTGGTTGCATCCCATCATCTTTGGGGAACTTAACACTGCTTGAATCGTTGGACCTTTCACAAAACAAGCTCTCAGGGGAGATCCCTCAACAACTCACCCACCTTACTTTCCTGGCCACACTCAATATCTCTCACAACAACCTTACAGGTCCTATACCGCAAGGAACCCAACTTACTTCATTCAACATTACTTCGTATGAGGGAAACCCAGGATTGTGTGGGGATCCATTGCCAGAGAAATGTGGAAATCCTGAGGCCCCTCAACTGCCACCTTACTCTGTAGAAGAAGATGATTCAACCTTTGGAATTGAATTTGAATGGAAATTTGTTTTGGCGGGATTTGGAAGTGGGTTGGTAATCGGAGTGGTACTAGCAGACCTTTTGATCACAAGGAGGCCGGAGTGGTTTATTAAGATTGTTGCAATGGTCAAACCAATGATAAGGACGATGTAGGAGACCTAGAAATTGAGATTATGGCAAGGTTCTCTATCTGTTGGTTTTTCAGCTGACCTTCTCTGTACACCTTAGTTTTCTGTCTTCGCTTTGACTTGGAGTTATGATAATATAGCATCAGTTATGATGAAGTAACGCAAATGAGATTTCAGAATGCTTCATGTATTCCTTGTCCTATGTTATCACAAATGCAATAAGATCATCTACTCCTTTTTTTGGGTGCTTTGTATTGTACTTGTGTTTCAGAGTTTATAGTAAATAGGAATCCAAAACCATTTCGTAAGTGGAGAATCCGAATCCATGTGTGATAACTTATGATAAGTGGACACTTGACTGCCATGTCATCGAACGAAACCATTTCGTAAAACTGAGTTTTATTATTTTTTATTGAGTTATTTACACTAACACCTCCTAAGATTTCTTGTGTTTTCACAAAACCTCCTCAGGTCTCAAAAATTACACGAACACCCCTAAGGTTTAAGTTTGTTTTCACAAAACCCCTTTTCGTTGATTGTTTGTCCAAAATTTGATGATTTTATTGGAAAAACTTATGCAAATAACAAAATTAACCTCAATGAAGTATATGCAATTTAATCTCAAAGGCCAACTTTGTCATTTGGAGAATGTTTTTGTATAAAATCATCAATCTTTGGATGAAATATCAATGAAAATGCGCGAATTCGTCGCGCAATTCGTGCCGCAGATTTTGCGCGACGAAGGTCTCTTCGTTGCGCAATATGTATCCCTAACGTTTGCGCAACGAACAATATTGCGCGACAAAATAGTAGTTGTCGCGCATATCATTTTCGCGCAACGAAAGCGTTCGTTGCTCAAGAGTAAATTATATGTATAAAATATTTTTATTCGTTTTTTTATTTTGTAAATGTGACTTTGCGCGACGAGATACATTTCGTCGCGCAAAATTAATATATTATATAAATTTAATATTACGGTTTTTTTCTTTTTTTATTTTGTACAAAAATGATTTTGGTTTTTTTTTGGGTAATAAAATGGAATTGAAAAAAAAAGAATTGTAAATGCATCTATTATATAAAATAAAATAAATGTATATAATACAAATTCCAAAAATTTTAAAAATAATTATGAAAATAAAAAACTAATCAAATAATGTTCCAAAATCTACATTGTCGTTTGGCACATGCAGCTCAGAGGTTTGGGTAGGGGCCGTGGTCTACTGGGGATGCTCTGGGTGGACGGGCTCGGAGGTCGACGCATGAAACTACGGGATTGGAATGCCGGATCGTGCAAGGGACTCCAGAATCACTGACATCTGACTCTGAAGCGTGGCCACCTGTGCAGTCAAAGCAGTTACCTGACTTGACTGCGCTGCTGGACGGGGTCTGGGTTCCCTCTGCCGGGCATTCCCCATCCCTCGACAATATGTCCCCGGCCTCCTCCCGAGAGTCTGATCCAACGTCTCCTTCAGGATCTGAAACCCAGCATCCTATGGAGGATCCACAGACTCGATTGGAGTCTCGAGAGGAAGCTGGGAGGCGGACTCCTGAAGAGCCAATTGGCTCCTCTCCACCATCGTCGTCTATTTAACATAACATAAAATATAAGTTAAAACATTCATATAATAACGTTTAAACTTGAATGCGAAACATAAGAATTAAAATTAAAAAATACTTACATGAAGGGACTCGGCCAACTCATTCCCAAGCCGAACATAAACGTCGTCAAAGACGTCGATCTCTGGGAATTTGGACCCCTCCCCCCCTAAATTGACAAGAGAAGAAAAATATTAGTACGAAAAAATAAATTAAGAATAATGACATATTAAAAATTAAAATACAATTATTTTATTATTACCCGGTGCCGTGCATCCATCCTATAGGAGAAGGGCCTAGAACCTGAATGGTGGAGAAGAGTCTTCTTCTTCCTATTGCCCTTATTGACTTTGGCTTTATTCTGTTATACAAAAAATAAACAGTATTAGTTGAAATTGAAATGAAATATAAAAAATGAAATAAACATTAATAAGAAGTATATAATAAATTTGAAATTCATATTACAAATTACCACAAAATCGGGCGCCTGAAAATGAGCGCAGAGCCACGCCCAACTATCATCTTGCCCCTCAAGCTATTTCGGGCAACCCTCCTGAAGAGCGACTTCCGGAGCCTCAAAAGCCTCAAAATAGTGGTGCAAGTCGCTCGTCCACTGCTTGTACCTCTCAGAGAAGAGTCTGTTAACGTACGCCAACGACACGTTGTCGAGGTCCTCCAAGTTGTAGTTCGTCTGCAATAAATTCATTACATACATTAAGTAATATAAATATACAAAGTTTGAAAGAAAAAGAATTAAACGGTAGGATGCATACCGACAACTGGCCGCGAACCTCCGTCTTGATCTCGTCAGGCATGACCTTCCAAGACTTCCATTGCATCGGGCAATGGGTACGCAGGACGTGACCAATGTCTTGGCCCAAGGAGCTATGCAACTCCGGCGTCGGTGCAGCCCGATGTCGCTTGTCATATACGATGTTGATACGACTGTTGGTCACCCAGGTGACCTTTGCTGTCTTCAACTGCTGACACGGCCCGCGGGTGTTCTTCTTAGCTGCAAAGAAATATGACATTAATAAAAAACAAATGTAACTATAAAATACAAAAATAAAAACAAAAACAAAAAAGAACTGGAGTTGTAGGAAATCTATACCTGGCTGTGGGCCCGAAGCATCAGTCGATGTGGTGTCGGTGGTGCTGACAGGCCGATGACACCACCTGGCGCTAACAGGCTGCGCCACTGATGAAGCCGATGAAGCTGGCGCCTGGGACCCCACGGACCAACTGCCAACTGGTCCATCTGTGCTGGCGCAGTGGCAGCAGATGCCGACTGAGGCGGGGGGTCAGAACTCGGTGTAGTCGTTACCGACCTACGACGTCTAATCAGGTCTGACATTTGCACAATTTCATTAATACACATACAAATTCCAAAAATTATACTAATATTTGCAAGCACATATAATTTTATTCAAATCCTTAACTAATTAATTAAAAGCATAGACCTAGGGTTTGCAAGTTCGGAGTATCCGAGACTCTGATCTACGATCCGTCGAATCCTACACGATCCTAGAAATACAACGTACAACATGCATGAGTTTGAGTTCGATCCAACGGTCCAAACATATCAAACCCGGAAATCGCACAATAGGAAAAATCCGTTCGAGACTCAAACGGTAACCAAATTCCAATCTAAACACATCTACTCGCTCGGGACAACCAGGGGATTGCACTGGGACTCAATGCACCCCTGCTACAGTACCCACACACCACCACACGCGCCGGCAGTGCGTTGGTGTCCAAAGCGATAACAATTGCCGGAATTTTCTACAAATTAAGGGCCAAGGTTCCTACCCTAGGTTCAAAACATGAATTGAAGGCACTTTTGTTCTCGGACCTACCTCGAAAAACGGCCGGAAGTGGCCGGAATTTGAATTCAAAAACCGGCCGAAAGCTAGGGTTTCAAATTCACTTCCCTATTCAAACAATTATGCAAATCCTATCCAACCATCAGCTAAAGCATAAAAAATAGCCCAGAAACCATACCTCAATTTCCGGCGGGAGGCTTGACGGTGACGGCTGGGGAAGCTCCGGGGTGATGGCGGGGAAGCTACGGGGTTGGAAGGCACTGGGCTGAGGTGACGGCAGAGAGAGAGAGAGATTTCCAGAAATCGGATCTGGGGAAGAAGGAGGTGCTCGCGTGGTTTCTGAACGTTTATTCGAGTTTGCGCGACGAAGAGACAAACTGCATCGCACAAAATATTTTAAATGAATCTTGCGCGACGAAAGTCAAAAATTTTTGTCACGCAATGATGTGATACTGCCCAAAATTTGGGATTAGGGTTTATGGTCAGTGCGATTTTGCACGACGAAGATATGAAAACCGTTGCGCAAGGGTACCTGGTATCACTTTGTGCGACGAATAACGACAGCTGTCGTCCCGCAATGTTCTGAGTCCGCTAAAATTTGGGATTAGGGTTTAGGGTTTGTGCGGTTTTGCACCATGAATATAACCGTCGTCGCGCAAACGTTTGATTTGCTGCCAAAAATTTCGACCAAGTGTTGAGTGGGAAAAATGAAAGGTCTGGATGAGATTGTGCGACGAAGACGAGCAATCGTCGCGCGAGGCTATGTTGTGAGCACATTGCGCGACGATGGATCACCCTTCGTCGAGCAAACTTGTGATTTGCCAAAAATTTCAACTAATTGTTGAGCGGGAAAAATGAAAGGTCTGGATGAGATTGCGCGACGAAGACGAGCAGTCGTCGCGCGAGGCTATGTTATGAGCACATTGCGCGACGATGGGTCACCCTTTGTCGTGCAAACTTGTGATTTGCCAAAAATTTCGACTAAGTGTTGAGTGGGAAAAATGAAAGGTTTGGATGAGATTGCGCGATGAAGATGAGCAGTCGTCGCGCGAGGCTATGTTGTGAGCACATTGCGCGACGATGGGTCACCCTTCGTCGCACAAACTTGTGATTTGCCAAAAATTTCGACTAAGTGTTGAGTGGGAAAAATGAAAGGTTTGGCTGAAACTACCATCTTTCGTCGCGCAATCCTATGCTTTCTTCACATTGCGTGACGAAATATGTCACCCTTCGTCGCGCAATCCCTAAACCCTAAACCGTAAACCCTAAAACCTAAAACCTGAAACCTAAACCCTAAACTAGTTTCAATGATCCAACCGATAAACTTGATTTTTTATACTTCGAGATCGTATACGCCGAAAATCGGAAAATAAAAAAACCATTCAAAGATCAAGTAACGAGACAAAACTTTTCGACGGTTATAAATGAAAAGTCACAATTTAACGGTAATTTTAATTCCAATTTTGATGATTTTTTACAGATACATTTCTTGACCCAATATGAATACAATGAGTGAATTTGATCTTCAATTTAATATATTTACACTAAGGGATAACACATAATCTTATGTTATGTTTAACGAAAGTATAAATAAACTCTTCATTGTTGATGATTCTATTGTTTTGATGGCATACACATTTTACAAAACTAGTTTCAGTAATCCAGCCGTCAAACTTGTTTGTTTATACTTCTAGATCGTATACGCCGAAAATCGGAAAAAAAAAGAATTCAGAGATCAAGTAACGGGATAAAACTTTTCGACGGTTATAAATGAAAAGTCATGATTTAACGGTTTTTTGAACTCCGATTTTGATGATTTTTTACAGCTACACTCCTTGACCCCATATGAATACAATGAACTAATTCGATCATGAATTTCAAATATATACGTGTGTATGTATTAAAAAATAAAATATATATATATTTGGGCGACGAATGGGACTCTTTCGTCGCGCAAAATATCTTCACGCGACGGCTGGTTTTTGTCGCGCAAAAGTTTAACTTTACGCGACTAGTGGGTTTTGCATCGCGTAAAAGTTGTGCGACGAAGAGCAGCTGCGTCGCGCAAAAGAATTTGGCGCCATGTCAGATTGTTTTTCATTGTCATTTTTTAAAAGTTTGGTTCATTATTAAATAACACAATTTTTTTTTCGTTTCAAAACTTATGTAAGTAGTTGAATAACACAAAATTTGTTTTGTATAAGGGCATTTTGGTAATAAAATTGGTTTTGATTTCGATTTTGACAATAGTAAACGTTTTTAATGAGAATTGATTTTATTTTTCACTATGATTCCTGACAGTTAATATTATTGGAATGCTACGTCTGATTCCTTGTTACAATTCATATACATATATACAAACATTTGTATTACACAAAATATGTACACTATATAAGAAAATTACAAAAAAATTCATTATTCATCATCTGAACTATAATACCTTTCGTTATCGTCGCTATCATCACTTTTGGTCTCCCAATCCTCCTCCTCCTCCTCCTCCTCCTCCTCCTTTATAACTACATCATCGTCGTTTCTCGGGCCCACTGCAACATCGTATCGCGGAAGATCACCGAGGTCAATTGTAATTGACTGAATCGGTATTTCGATTGAAGACACTCCTTGTATTTGAAACGGTTCTTGTATAACATTTGTATCTCGAAGTGTTTCCGCATCATTTTCCATTGAAGATTCTAAACGTTGGTCAGCCGCATTGTCGACGTCGTTGTCAATTGGGTCTAGTTCTGGTATAGCTTACACGTTCCTATGATCCATCTTCTGAACAACTTTCCAACCGTTCCAGGCTTTAGGGTCGTCTAGATACACAATCTGTGTTGCCATGTTTGCCAAAATGTAAGGGTCGTCATCATACCAAGTTCTGTTAGTGTTCACAAATAGTAAGCCATTGTCGATTTTAATACTTCCCGACCTATTTGGGTTGGTATCAAACCATCAACACTTAAACATGATCACTTGGTATCGATATTTGTAAAGCAATTGCACGACAGTTGTGAGTTTGCCATAGAAATCAATGTCCGTACTTTCACCTCCACCAGGGACATGGACACCACTGTTTTGCGAACACAGCTTGTCATCTCGTGCAGCCCCCAAAAATTTGACGCCATTAACATTACAACTCGAGAACAATTCATCGCGAATCGGGCCGAACGCCAAGTTATATAACTCATCACTGTAAGTGGGGGAATTCGATGATTTCAACTTATTCACTTAATATTATACAAAACCATTCACATGTTAGTCTGACAAAATTAAATACTACAATTTATATTTTTCAAATACAAAACATTTATAACTTACAGAATCCAAAAACCATTGTGGAAACAATTCACGGTGTTTCTGGGCAACCAAATGTGATGGATGTTCTCGCTTCATCATCTCTTCATGCTCATCTAAGTATGCCATTATCTCATCACAATTGTTCAGTACAAACCAATGCGCTACCTCCATGTCATTTCTAGAAAACGACTCTCCTCGTCCAAAATCTCCAAAGGGTCGTGCGCTTTGGGCAAAAACAGAAAGTTTACCTCCGTCATTATTGAGCTGAGGCCGATTGAAAGCCGTCTCCACATTTTTTTAAATACATTCCGCAGAAAGTAAGCAACTCATATTGAACCCAAGCCTCTATAATTGATCCTTCGGGCCTCGCCTTGTTGTGTACACTTTTTTTCAGCTCTCTGAGAAGCCTGCTAAAATAAAATGATATGATCCAAATTAGCAAGCCTGTGATAATGATGCATACACAAAAACGATAAGGATTATATACTTTTCTATTGGATACATCCAGTGATAGTTGACAGGACCAGCAAGCAATGCCTCTTCTGGCAAGTGAACCATCACGTGGATCATACTTGTAAAGAAAGCTGGAGGGAATATCATCTCAAACTTGTATAGGACTTGGACAATGTCATGCTGCAACTGATTAATGTATGTCTTTCGCAATGTTGTCGCCGTGAGTTGGGAAAAAAATTTGGACAACAACATGATTGGCTTGACTACATCTTTCAGCAATAGGTGTCGAATACCTACCGGAAGTAGGCATTGCATGAACACATGGTAGTCATGGCTCTTAAGTCCAGTAAATTTACCCCCGTCAACATTCACGCAACGTGCGATATTAGAAGCATACCCATCGGGAAACTTTACAGATGATACAAACTTTAGAAACTCTTTCTTGTCGTTCGGTTTCATAGAAAAGAATGCAAGATCCCTTCTAGCTTTATCACTGTCCCTATTCATCCATAAACCCCTTCGTATGCCAATTCTTTCCAAATCAAGACGAGCTTTGATCGTATCCTTTGTCTTGCCCTCGATATCTAGAATCGTGCCCACCAATGTGTCCAATACATTTTTCTCAACATGCATCACATCTAGATTGTGCCTCAATTTGAGTTTCGACCAATATGGGAACTCAAAAAACATAGGCTTGTGCGTCCAGTTCATATGTGTAGAAGGTCTGATCCGACTAACTGTTTTCCCGAACGGAGCAAAATCCAAACGGTTAAGCTGTTCCAATATCTCAGACCTTTCACAAAACAAGCTCTCAGGGGATTTCCCTCAACAACTCACCCACCTTACTTCATTCGACATTACTTCATATGATCAAAACCCGAGATTGTGTGGTGATCCATTGCCAGAGAAATGTGGAAATACTGAGGCCCCTCAATTGCTACCTTCCTCTGTAGAAGAAGATGATTCAAGCTCTGGAATTGAATTTGATTGGAAATTTTTTTTGGCTGGATTTGGAAGTGGGTTGGTAATCGGAGTGGTTCTAGCAGACCTTTTGATCACAAGGAGGCCTGAGTGATTTATTAAGATTGTTGCAATGGTAAGACCAATGATAAGGAAGTAGGGGCACCTAGAAATTGAGATTATGGCAAGGTGTTAGTTATTTATTATTTTGTTTTATTTTAATAAAATTCAAAACTTATTATTATTGTTATATATTTAATAGTAAAGATTATTTATTTTAAGAGTCATATTTGTTGACCAATTGACGTGACTTTATAAAAGGGTGTGTGGAGTCTTATAAATAATGAACTCCTCATTCATAACAGAGTGAATAATTCTCTGTTACTCTCATACTCCATATCTAAATCACACTCATCATTCTCTATCTCCTACAATTCTTTTTATCTATTTCCTGGGCAATCGATCAACACTTGGCATACTCGTCTGCCGTTGGCGTGCGTAACGGACCAGACATCCTATAAGGTTTTTGGGTTGTATCTTGAAGCTGTAGACACCGCCATAACCTACACGTAGGAAGGCGTCTATAGCTTTAGGACAACGTTTATCGTGCCTCTCTTGGGTTCATAGCCCAAACTTTCTTTCTCCTTTAATCTACCTATTGTTAATTGTGATTGTTTTAATTGAACGTATTTAATCCATTTTATATTTTTACACAAATCTGCATTTATTTCTAACACAAGGTTCTCTATCTGTTGGTTTTTCAGCTCACCTTCTTTGTACACCTTAGTTTTCTGTCTTTGCTTTGACTTGGAGTTATGATAATATAGCATCAGTTATGATGAAGTAATGCATATGACATTTCAGAATGCTTCATGTATTCCTTGTCCTATGTTATCACAAATGCAATAAGATCATCTACTCTGTTTTTTGGTGCTTTGTGTTGTACTTATGTCTAAGACGATGTCATTTCGGGTTTCAGAGTTTATTGTAAATGGGAATCCAAAATACACAAGGTAGTTCTAGACATAAGTATGATAAGTGGAGAATCCGAATCCATGTGTGATAACTTATGGTAGGTAGGACAAATGACTGCCATGTTGTCGAATGAAACCATTTCGTAAAACTGAGTGGTATGGCAAGGGTTGTCTAAAAACATAGCTGCATGAATTTCCAGTTTGCGCTTGTGGGAGTGAACGAGGATCGTAAAATATATAACTGCACTTTAACCAACTTCAGTCCTGAATTATGCTTAGAGATTGTATCCTCTTTGTCTAGTGATTGCTCTGTTTTCATTTCGTGAGAAATTTTTTGCCAATTCTGTCTTCTGAACTGACTTCCACTTTGGAACAGTATCCGATGCAAACGAAACTGAAACTTCCATGTACACAAAACACAAAGACGTTCTGCAATTTCACAGCTCTGGTTTTAGACAACACTTGACTTGCCATACACTCTCTTCTCAATATATTTCTTTTTTCCCTTGTTATGATATTGTAATTAGCTGTTGATCTAAAACTGTGTTTTTTGCTTAAGTATTTCATAAGTAAATACCCATTTTTTTGTACAAAATTATAATCGCAAATACATACACATTAAAATACCGAAGTAAAAAAAAAAAAAAAAAAAAACCCCACCCCACCACAAAAAAAAAAAAAAAAAAAAAAAAAAAAAAAAAAAAAAAAGCAAAACACACATCATAACCTTAACCCTTTTTCAGTTTTCAGTTTCGTTTGGGTCCTTATCTGACTTCTGGGTTTTCGGGGGTTTCTGGATTGAAGGGGTTTGCTGGATTTCTGTATTTGTGTAATCGGCATACTATTTGCATACTTATAATCTAATATTGCTTGCAAACTCTGCATGCGTGGATATGTATAATCTGCATGCTTGTAAATTCTGTTTCTGTTATGTTCTGAGCTTTTCTAATATCTTTCTTATCAGATTTCTTATTGTTCAAACAGAGCATGCTGCATGCATTGCTCATTTTACTGAATAATCAAACAGAAAATCGCTTCTATGAATTGTGAGATCCAAACTAGAATGTTGAAACTTGAAACAAAAACTTTGGAATTTTGAATCTCTGCCCATACATATTTTTTCTATAAAGTAAACACTGGGAGTGGTGGAGGTAAGAATGTAGTAAACTGACGCCGGAGTATCTATGAGACAGACCTAGACTTTCCTAATCTAAGTGGGCTCATCAGCCAAGAAGGCTAAGTTTTAGTGAACTTACATTATTAAGTTATTTTGACATGAGTTTTCCTATTTTCTTTAAGAATTTGGTTAATTTCCTGTTTTGTTTAAATTTTCCTTCGTCAATTAGATTATGCTACCGTTTGATGTCTATATAAGCCTGGTTAACAGTTGCAATCTTTTAACAGTTGCAATCGTTTGATGTCTATATAAGCCTGAGTTTTTTTAATATCAATTGAAATCTGAATTGAATACACCCAAACTTTTACAAACTATTTAAAATCTGAATTGAATATACCCAAACTTTTAAACTCTTTTAAAATCTTAATTGAATACACCCCCCCTAAGAGTGTGAAAATGCAGCCGCTTCCTATGAGAGCTTAGGTAGTACTCGTGAATATCCAAGTGGGCGCATTGTCCATTTGCACCAACCCGCTTGAACAAATTTGAATCCGATAATTTAATGTGAGTCCTCTCGGACTCCCAATAAGAAATCTTGGTTCAAAAAAAATTATTTTCACCAAATTTGTGTAGCGCATGACTATCATATCCTAAGGCTAGTTCAAAATTGATTGATTTGGCTTCCTATTTGGTACAGGTACAACTCCTTCTAGGCGGTTTGGCTTCTCTCTTTAATTTTTTTATTTTTGCTTTATATACACATATACATGGCTTAAAAAAATTTTGAGCCCCTTTCAGCTTTAGGCCTCGAGCTGTAGCCCTAGTCGCCCTGGGGCAAGGCTAGCTCTACCCACATATCACTTGTATAAAAAAAAAAAAAAAAAAAAAAAAAAATTATATACAATACTACCACTACGTTTTACTATTTGCGCGACGAAATTTTGCGCGACGAAGAATAATTCGTCGCGCAAACCACTGAAAACTTACGCAACCAAATTTTTCGTCGCACGAAATGTCTTTGCGCGACCAAAAAACTCGTCGTCGTGCAAACAGAGTTAAAAATAGCGGGGAAATTTTTTTTGGAGCGAAACACTTGCGCGACGAGGAATATCGTCGCTTAAGACAACCTTGCGCGGCAGTTCTCTGATTCGTCGCGCAAAAAGGGACAAAAACTAGTGGGTCCCTTTATTTGGCGGTAAAAACTTGTGCGACGAAACTTTTTGTCGCAAAAGACAGCTTAGCGCAACGGGAAGAAGTTTCGTCGCGTAAGAAAACGAGGGATATTTTATTTTTGGCGCCAAAATTACCTGGTTGAGATTTTTTTTTTTGCACGACGTACATATTCTTCGTCGCGTAAAGTTTCACATTTGCGCGACGAATTCTGGTTTTTGCGCGACGATATGGCACGACGAAAGTTTGCGCGACGAAAGTTTTGCGTGACGAAAAACACCTGCGTCACGCAAAAGTTAGATGTTGGCACGTGATTGCGCGACGAAAAATTTGGTTTGCAAGATGGAATATTTGGTTTTTTGCGACGGAAGTTTACGCGACGAAATTATTTATTCGACGCGCAAAGTCCTTCTTCTTCATATTAGAATTCTGCTATTGCAGATGCAGAATGCAAAAAAAAAGCATTCTACCTCTACCTCTCTCTCAACCTCTCTGCCGCTGCTGAGACTTCAATACATTGATTGGGTAAATATTTTTCGTCATTAGTTTAAAAGTATTAATTTAAATTCGTACTAAGGTTTTTTATTTTGTTTTCGTTAAGGATATTTGTAATTAGCGATTAGTGGAGAACGATTGAAAATGTATTTTATTCGTTTTATATATTAATAATGTTAAAGTTAGTTTGTTATGTTTAAAATTTTTTGTGAAGTTATATTTATATTATGTTGTTAAATTGTGCGTAACGTAGCACAATATGTTGTGATGTACGAAGTTAATTGAAATTAACTTCGTACTTTTATTTTTATGTTTAGTAACACTTAGTTTCCCGTTCGAGATTAGTTGGATTTCGTGCATGGATGCGTAATGCATGACTGCGGTCCAATTAATTCTTGAATTGTCCCATTATTTGGACAGTTTGGTAATGCATAGTGTTTTCACGTAATCTACGGCTACAGGACTAGGTTTCGATTGTGGAGATTTCGATGTCATCTCGATACGTTCTTTGGGTGGTACGTAGGTATTTATACCTATGGCCACCTCAAGAACTGTAGCGAGATGCTGGCGAAATTCATCCACGTCGAAATCTAATCTCATGTAGCCGTAGGTTACGTGGCAGAAGTATGCATTCCCGAATGGGATAGGCCCTTACCGGAGGCATAAGGTGACATTATAACTTCGTATGAAGTTGTTGTGATTGTTGTGTTGTGATTATGGTTTCAGGAATTATGGACAGGAGGTAGATACAGAACCCGAAAAGATGCGCAGACGAATACTTGGATGGAATCGAGGATTTTATTGAGTTTGCACGTAGACACAAGCCGGGTGCAACTAGAATCCGTTGTCCTTGTAGGAGGTGCAACAACACGTTATGGGAGACAATTGAAAATGTTGGATTTCATTTAGTAAGGAATAGAATGATTGAGACATATAGCATTTGGAACCTTCACGGGGAACAATTAGAGCATGCTTTGTCTTCAAATGCCACAAGAGTGGACAATGTTCAACCTATTGTGGATGCTAATGATCAAGTCAAGGATATTATACAGGATGTTTTTCCATTTGCATCGACCAACATGAATCAAGAAGAGCAAGATGATGTGCCTACACCAATAGACAGTGCGGAGTTTGAACAATATGAAAAATTGTTAAAAAATGCCAACCAAGAGTTATACCCGGGGTGCGAGAGCTTTTCCGTTCTCACGGCCATTGTGGAGCTAATGCACGGAAAAATAAAGTATCGTATGTCGAACCTGTGTTTCGATTACTTTTTGGGGGTTTTCAAGAGAATGCTTCCGACGGACAATTGTTTGCCGAAAGACCATAAACAGGCCCAGAAGGTGTTGAATGGTCTGGATTGGGTTATGAAAAAATCCATGCTTGCAAAAACAATTGCATGTTATTCTACAAAGAGCATGAATCGTTGGATACATGTCCTATATGCAATGAGTCGAGGTTCAAGATGACATCTCAGAATAGGACGACTAAGATCCCACAAAAGTCATGCGTTATCTGCCCCTGAAACCTAGGTTGCAGCGATTGTATATGTCGACGCATACTGCCACAGACATGAGATGGCATAAGGAAAAATGGGTAGACGATGATGTGATGCGGCATCCTGCAGATGGGGAGGCATGGAAAGAGTTCGATCGAACGTTCCCCGAGTTTGCTGCTGATCCCCGAAATGTTAGATTGGGACTTGCCACTGACGGATTCAATCCGTATGGGGTTCTAAACCAACACCACAGCACTTGGCCGATTTTCGTATTCCCATATAATTTTCCACTTTGGAAATGCATGAAAAAAGAATACATGATGATGACTGTTTTGATAACTGAGGATCCTGGGAGGTCAATCGATGTTTACTTAAGGCCGTTGGTTGATGAGCTGAAGGATTTATGACAAACGGTGTTCGCACGTATGATAAATCAACTGGGAAGATGTTCACTTTGTGGGCAGCAGTTATGTGGACTGTGAATGATTTCCCAGCATATGCAATGGTTTCTGGGTGGAGCACAAAAGGTTATATGACATGTCCTGTATGCAAGGAAGATGTAACTTCTGGTTGGCACGCTGGAAAAGTTTGTTACCTTGGTCATCGGATATGGTTGCCATGGGACCATGAGTGGAGGGAAAAAGATAAAGAGTTAGACGAGAACACAGAGCGTCGTCTTAGACCTAGAGAATGGTCCGGTGACGAGATATTGGACCAGCTTAACCGGTTGGATTTTGCCCCTTCGGGTAAACAGTTAGTTATATCAGACCTTCTACACATATGAACTGGACGCACAAGCCTATGTTTTTTGAGCTCCCATATTGGTCGAAACTCAAATTGAGGCACAATCTAGATGTGATGCATGTTGAGAAAAATGTATTCGACACATTGGTGGGCACGATTCTAGATATCGAGGGGAAGACAAAGGACACGATCAAAGCTCGTCTTGATTTGGAAAGAATGGGCATAGGAAGGGGCTTGTGGATGAATAGGGACAATGATAAAGCTAGAAGGGATCTTGCATTCTTTTCTATGAAACCGAATGACAAGAAAGAGTTTCTAAAGTTTGTATCGTCTGTAAAGTTTCTCGACGAGTATGCTTCTAATATCACACGTTGTGTGAATGTTGACGGGGGTAAATTTACTGGACTTAAGAGCCATGACTGCCATGTGTTTATGCAACGCCTACTTCCTGTGGGTATTCGACACCTATTGCTGGAAGATGTAATGAAGCCAATCATTTTGTTGTCTAGATTTTTTTCCCAATTGACGGCAAAAACTTTGCGAAAAATGGACATGTTTCAATTGCGCCATTACATTGTCCAAGTCCTATGCAAGTTTGAGATGATATTTCCTCCAGCTTTCTTCACAAGTATGATGCACGTGATGGTTCACTTGCCAGAAGAGGCATTGCTTGCTGGTCCTGTCAACTATCGCTGGATGTATCCAATAGAAAGGTATATAATCCTTATCGTTTGTGTATGCATCATTATCACATGCTTGCTAATTTGTATCATATCGTTTTATTTTGGCAGGCTTCTCGGAGAGCTGAAAAAAAGTGTACGCAACAGGGCAAAGCCCGAAGGATCAATTATAGAGGCTTGGGTTCAATATGAGTCGCTTACTTTCTACGGAATGTATTTAAAAGATGTGGAGACGGTTTTCAATCGTCCTCAACGCAATCATGACGGAGGTATGAGAAATGAAAACTTTCTGTTTTTGCCCAAAGCGCACGACCCTTTGGAGATCCTGGACGAGGAGAGTCGTTTTCTAGAAACGACATGGAGGTAGCGCATTGGTTCGTACTAAACAATTGTGATGAGATCATGGATACTTATATGAGCATGAAGAGATGATGAAGCGAGAACATCCATCACATTTGGTTGCCCAGAAACACCGTGAATTGTTTCCACAATGGTTTTTGGATTCTGTAAGTTATAAGTGTTTGTTATTTGAGAAATATAAATTGTAGTTTTTAATTTTGTCAGACTAACATGTGAATGGTTTTGTATAATATTAGGTGAATAAGTTGAAATCATCGAATTCCCCAACTTACAGTGATGAGTTATATAACTTGGCGTTCAGCCCGATTCGCGCTCTATTGTTCTCGGGTTGTAATGTTAACGGCGTCAAATTTTTGGGGGTTCCACGAGATGACAAGTTGTGTACACAAAACAGCGGTGTCCATGTCTCAGGTGGAGGTGAAAGTACGAACATTGATTTCTATGGCAAACTCACAACTGTCGTGCAATTGCTTTACAAAGATTGATACCAAGTGATCATGTTTTAAGTGTCGATGGTTTGACACCAACCCAAATAGGCCGGGAAGTGTTAAAATCAATCATGGCTTACTATCTGTGAACATGAACAGAACTTGGTATGATGACGACCCTTATATTTTGGCAAACATGGCAACACAAATTGTGTATCTAGATGACCCTAAAGCCAGAAGCTGTTGGAACGTTGTTCAAAAGATGGATCATAGGAACGTGTATGCTATACCAAAACTAGACCCAACTGACAACGACGTCGACAATGTGGCTGACCAACGTTTAGAATCTTCAATGGAAAATGATGCGGAAACACTTCGAGATACAAATGTTATACAAGAGCCATTTCAAATACAAGGAGTGTCTTCAATCGAAATACCGATTCAGTCAATTACAATTGACCTCGGTGATCTTCCGCGATACGATGTTGCAGTTGGCCCGAGCAACGACGATGATGTAGTTATAGAGGAGGCAGAGGAGGAGGAGGAGGAAAAGGATTGAGAGACCGAAAGTGATGATAGCGACGATAACGAAAGTTATTATAGTTCAGATGATGAATGATGAATTTTTTTTGTAATTTTATTATGTTAGTGGACATATTTTGTGTAATGCAAATGTTTTCAAATACGTACTTGTTATATCCACACATTATATATGTGGAGAAATGAAACATTATTAAAATAAATGTAGTTATAAACCATTGGTAAATCAATATATCCAAGTAATTTTAATAATAAAGTTTAAATTTATTTTGACAAAAAACTTTTAAAAAATGAAAATCATAAACAAGAAAGAGAATTGGGGAGATATAGAAATATTGATCATTATTTAATTATAATAAATATGTTATTATTAATATAAGAGAAAAAATGAATAAAAAGAAAATAAGATTATCCAAAAAACTTTCTTTCATTTGAACTCGCAAAATCAACAATCCTTCAATTCTCAAATCAAAAGAAAATAGAATAAATCATACTTTCATACAATTAATTATATGTAATGATGAATAATTCAGTTTAATAATATGTGAATGAAAATAACCTTGCGCGACGAAGGAATCATCGTCGCGCGAATTTTGCGTGACGGAAAATATACACGTCGTGCACACTTCAAATTTTGCGCGGCAAATAATTCCGTCGCGCAAATAAATTTTGCGCGACAAACAAAAATACCTTGTCACGCAAACATATATATATTTTTGATATATACATACGTATATATTTTAAATTGACGATCGAAGTAGTTCACTGTATTCACATAGGGTTAAACAGTGTAGCTGTAAAAAAACATCAAAATCGGAGTCAAAATAACCGTTAAATCATGACTTTTCGTTTATAACCGTCGAAAAGTTTTGTCCCGTTACTTGATCTCTGAATGTTTTTTTTTCTAATTTTCGACGTATACGATCTCGAAGTATAAACAAACAAATTTGACGGCTGGATTACTGAAACTAGTTTCGTAGAATGCGTATTCCATCCAAACACAATATTCACCCAAAAATGAAGAATTTATTTATACATTCCTTCAATATAACATAAGATTATGTGATGTCCTGTACTGTAAATATCTGAAATTGAAGATCGAATTCCATCTCTGTATTCATATAGGGTCAAGAAACGCAGCTGTAAAAAAATTTCAAAATCGGAGTTAAAATCACCGTTGAATCGGGACAATTTGTTTAGAACCGTCGAAAAGTTTTGTCTCGTTACTCAATCTCTAAATGTTCATTCATTCTGATTTTCGACGTATACAATCTCGAACTATAAAAAAAGAAGATTGCCGATTGGATCATTGAAACTAGTTCAAGAGTTATGGTTTAGGGCTTAGGGTATAGGTTTTACAGTATAAGGGTATGGGTTTGCGCGACGAATACACAATCTATTCGTTGCGCAACGTTCACTAGAAAATCCTTGCGCGACGAATACAATTCTCCCTCGTTGTGCAATCTGAGGAAGAATTTCAGCCCCTCTACGACCCAAGACTTAGTAAAAAAATTTTTGGCAAAATCTAGCTTGCGCGACGAATACAAGTCCCCTTCGTAGCACAATGTGAGAAAGAATTTCAGCCCATCTCCGCTCCAACACTTAGCGATTTTTTTTGGCAAAATCTAGCTTGCGCGACGAAATACTATCTCCTCCGTCGCGCAATCTGAGGCACAATTGTAGCCATACTCTGCCCCAACACTTAGTAAAAAATTTTGCAGGTCACAGCTTGCGAGACGAACGATACTTTCGTCGCACAGTAGCATTTCATTTATCACCCCCGCGCAAAATCAAATCCCAAAATTTGGGCGGATTGACAAACTTGCACGACGAAACAAGTTGTTTCCGTCGCGCAAAGGTGATATTTTCAGAACCTTGCGCGACGTACAAAAATCTTTCGTCGCGCAAAATTGCCAACCCTAAACCCCAATCCCAAATTTTGGCGGACATGACGACATTGCGTGACGGAAATGTTATTTTTTTCGTCGCGCAAAATTTATTTAAATGAATTTCGCGCGACGCATTTAGTTATTCGTCGCGCAAAGTCGAATAAGTTTTCTGAAACTCGCGATCTTCTCTTTCTTCCTCAGTTTCTCAAATCCGCCCTAAAACCTCCCTCTCTCTCCGCCATGACCTCAGCCCCTACTCTGCCCCAATTCAGACCCTGCCGCCACAAGCGTCGAACCCTGGAGCTTCTCCGCCGTCGCCGTCCATCCTGCCGCCGTGATTTCCTCCGTTTAGGCCGAATCTTCGCCGCCGTTGTTCTCTCTCCTTCGGGCACCAAATCCGGCAATTGAGGTATGCTTTCTGGACTATTTTTTTATGCTTTAGCTGATGGTTGGGTAGGATTTGATTGATTGTGTGCATAGGGTAGTGAATTTGAAACCCTAGGTCGGCTGGTTTTGAAATTGAAATTCCGGCCACTTCCGGTCGTTTTTCGGGGTAGGTCCGAGAACAAAAGTGCCTCCAATTGATGTTTTGAACCTAGGGTAGGAACCTTGGCCCTTAATTTTTAGGATTTTCTGGTGATTGTTATCGCTTTGGGCACCCACATGTTGCCGGCGCGTGTGGTGGCGCATGGAGTACTGTGGCATAGGGCATTGGGTCCCAGTGCAAACATTTCGTTGTCACGAGCGCGTAGGTGTACTCGGATTGGAATTTGGTTACCGTTTGAGTCTCAAACGGATTTTGCCTATTGTGTGATTTCCGGGTTTGATATGTTCGGTACCATGTATGTGGTACCATGTATTTATAGGATCGTTTAGGATTCGACGGATAGTGGATCGGAGTCCCGGATACTCCGAAATTGCAAACCCTAGGTCAAACTATGATTTTAATTAATTAGTACAATTTTTTAATGACATTGTATGTGCTAAATTTGATTAATGAAATTGTGCATATGTCAGACTTGATTAGACGTCGTAGGGCAGTGACGACTACACCGAGTTCGGAGCCCCCGGCTCAGCTGGTATCAGCTGCCATTGCTCCAGCACTGATGGAGCAGGACCACGTGCTAGCTGGTCCTAGGGGATCCTAGGCGCCTGCATCATTAGCTTCTTCGGTGGTGCAGCCTCTTAACGCTAGGCGGCGACACCGGCCCGCTTGCACCACCGACACCACATCGACCGACGGTACTGGTGCCTCGGGGGCACCCCCAAGTATATATACCCTTTCACTTTCGTTTTTTTTGTTTTTAAAATTTTTTTAATTGGGAATTTTATGGTTCAATTTGTTATTTATTTAACAGTATTTTCATATCCCTTTGCAGCTAAAAGGAACACCCGAGGGCCGTGTCGGCAGCTGAAGACGGCGAAGGTCACCCGGGTGACCAACAGTTGTAGCAGCATCGGATATGACGAGCGCCATCGGGCTACACCGACGGCGAAGTTGCATAGCTCCTTGGCCCACGACATTGGCCACGTCGTTCGGACCAATTGCCCGATGCAATGGAAGTCTTGGAAGGTCATGCCTGACGAGATCAAGATGCAAGTTCGCGGCCGTTGCATAACTTTATATATTTCTATTACTTAATGTATGTAATGAATTTATTGCAGATGAACTACCACTTAGAGGACCCAACGAGGAGACCTTGGCGTACGTCAACAGACTCTTCGGTGAGAGGTACAAGCAATGGAAGAGCGACTTGCACCACCATTTTCAGGCATTTGATGATCCGCAAGTCGCTCTTCAGGAGGGTTGCCCAAAGGAGCTTGAGGGGCGGGAGGATAGTTGGGCGTGGCTCTGTGCTCATTTTCAGGCGCCCGATTATGTGGTATTTTTTTAATAATATTTGTTTAATTATTACATATTTCTTATTAATGTTTATTTTATTTTTTATATCTCATTATTATTTAATTTATTTATATTTCAACTATTACGTTTTATTTTTTGTATAACAGAATAAAGCCCAAGTGAATAAGGGCAATAGGAAGAAGAAGACTCTTCTCCACCATTTCAGCTCCAGGCCCTTCTCATATAGGATGGATGCACAGCGTCAGGTAAGAATAATATAATTTATATTTAATTTTTAATACGTCATTATTATTAATTTATTTTGTTCATACTAATATTTTCCTTCTCTTGTTCAATTAAGGGGGGGTCGAAATTCCCAGATATCGACGTCTTTGGTGACATTTATCTTCGACCTGGGAATGAGTTGGCCGAGTCCCTTCATGTAAGTATTATTTAATTTTAATTCTTATGTTACGCTTTCAATTTATATGCATTTTTTAATTTATATTTTATGTAATGTTAAACAGACGATGATGGTGGAAAGGAGCGAGTTGGTTCTTCAAGAGTCCGCCTCCCAACTTCCTCCTGAGACTCCGATAGAGTCTGTGGATCCTCCGCATGATGCTGGATTTCAGATTTTGACGCAGACGTTGGATCAGACTCTCGGGAGGAGGTCGGGAACGTATTGTAGGGGGATGGGGAATGCCCGACAGAGGGAACCTCGACTGCGGTCATCGTCGCAGGCAAACAGTCAGGTGACTGTTTTGACATCGCGGGTTGCCAGACCTCCGAGCCGCATGTGGCAGATGACCAAGTAGATTTTGGAACATTATTTGATTAGTTTTTTATTTTTATAATTACTTTTAAAATATTTCTCTTGTATACATTTCTTTTATTTTATATAATAAATGTTTTCTTTGCGATTAATCTTTTTATTGTAATTTCATTTTAATTATAAAAAAAAACCAAATTTATTTTTTTACAAAATTAAAAAACAAATAATAATAATTTTTTTATATAATATATATTACTTTTGCGCAACGAAACGTAAATCGTCGCGCAAAATCATTTAAAACAACCCGTTGAAAAATATATTTTAATCATGTGCGACGAAGAGTTTCGTCGCGCAGAATGTGTATGCGCGACGAATTGTTTCGTTGTGCGAGATTTGTATGTGCGACGAATTGTTTCTTCGCGCGAAATTTGTATGTGCGACGAATTGTCTCGTTGCGCGAAATTTGTATGCACGACGACTCTTTCGTTGTGCAAAGTCTAATTGCGCGACGAATATTTTTTCGTCCCGCAAAGTTCATGTATCTCACGCGACGAAAGCCTCCGTCGCGCATTGTTGTTGTGACGACCAACCTTTCGTCGCGGAAAAGTTTGTGCGACAGACATTTGGGTCGTCCCAAAATTTTTTTTGTAAAGAAGTTGTTATACGTTGCACTGTTTTGCGCTACGAAACTTCTGTCGCGCATAATTATGTGCGACTAAAGTCATCTTTGCGCGACGAAGATTACTTCGTCGCGCAAATCCTAAAATGTTGTAGTGTAGCCTACTCTCCATTGATATTCATATATCAGATGATCAGACCAGTTGAAGGCATCTTTTTCTAGCATGGAACTGCTCACTTTCTAATTGTTGATCTAACCCATTAATAAGTTTATGACTTTGGCTTGGAAAAGTTAACGTGGGGGTTAATAAGTTTAGGGAAATAGCTCAAAATGCTAATTTTGACAAGTTTATAAAGAAGATATCATTCACTTGAGTTTGAAGTGAATTTCCATTTACTTTCTTGAGATGAACAAAAAACTTTCTCTTAAAATTCGTAAGCTCAAAACACTTTGGTCTTATGTGTCCTAATGTGCCACAATGATGGCAAGTAGGAATGAACATTTTTGGTTTTGGGAAACCAAATTTTGCAAGTGAAGAATGTTTATCTCTTGTGCAAACCACAGACTTTACGACTGCATACCCCTTAAAAGATGACACATGAGTCTTAAACTCACTTTCTTTGAAAACTTGAGACTCAATCCTAAGGATATGACACCTAGGTCGAATGTGTCCTTTCACACCACAATGGTGGCAGGTAGGCACAAAGTTGGATTGTGGAAGAGACAACTTTCCCTTAGAGACAATATTCATGGAATTGAAACCCAAGTTGAGACCATGAACAAATTTTGAAGCTTCTTGAGTTGACACGTCTTTGATAAAGATTGTCTCAAATGATGAAGGTGTAAAAGACTCATCTATATATCCTAGACCTCTTTTATCACCAAACAATTTTCCAAAATTGAGCATTTTATCAATCTTTCCAGCACCAACGGTTAAACCTTGAATCTTTTCTTTTTCCAACTCAAGTTCATGTTCCAATCTTATATTTTCAAATTGTAAAACATCAAAATAATCAGATTATTTAACCATATTGTTTTCAAGTGATTTTACCATCTCAAACAAGCTTTGAACCTCAATGTCTTTCTCAAATAACATGCATTGCAAAACAGAATTTTCAACCACAAACTTATCATGCACGACAACCTTTTCATGCTCGACTAATGACTTTTCAAACTCAAATAAAATCAATCTATGAAGAAGCAAGGATTTGTCATTTTCAAGTACATTAAATTTCTCAATCAAATCAGAATTTTCTTTTCAAGAGTGCTAACTTTATGATACAATTCATACATGTCAACTTCATTCTCATACAAGCTATCACTCAACTTCCTTTTGGCCATTTTGAGAGTTTTATTCAGTTCATCAAGTTCCTTGACCTTTTCTTCAACCATGTGATTATGTTCTTTGAAATTATAGGTTTCATTAAAAAGCATATCATATTTTTCACATAGTTCCATGTATGACTGGTCATCTTGTTTCGTGTATGACTGGTCATCCTGTTCCTTGTATGACTGGTCATCTTGTTCCTTGTATGACTGGTCATCCTGTTCCCCGTGTGATTGGTCATCCTTTTCCCCGTATGATGTAATATGACATGAATGACTATTACCCGATTCAAGTCATAAGGGGCAACATTGGAACAAAAAATGAAAATATTACATCATAAAATATTTAAAAATGAATGTAATTCTCTATGGCACAAAAGTCAAAGGACTTAGATCAAAGTCACAAAATTCGAGGACTAAACCCAACTCCTCATTAGGAATTTGGATCTATATCAACTTTTCTATTAAAAGGACTATTGATTTACACTTTTTAATTCACCGAAAGGATTGAAATACGAAGACTTAAAATTCATTAACTGAATTGAATGACTAAAATGAAATAGGTGCAAAAAGTCGATGGAGATTACCAAAATTAACCCCCTATTATTAATTCACTTGAAGTCCATCGCACATGGTGACGTGCATGTTTGTTACAAAGCCCCAAGGAAGAAAAAAAAGGTTCTGGTAAATTACATATATGCAATTTGTGATATTTTCAATTAAAAAGACCAAGAAACTCCAAGTCAATTTGCTAATCACTCTGGATGCTACCCAGCCCCTCTGTTCAAGTCAAGCACATATGTATGGACCGATAAAGACATGCAACCAAATAATCATCACAGAATTTTTCATCTTTAGGTTAATTACAGTTTAGTACCCTGTCGTTACACTCTAGGGGTGACCCTGAGGGTGTGCAAGTGGTGCCACCGCACAAGGCCCCTGATTTTTGAGGGGCCCCGATTTTTTTTTATTTGTATAATATATGTTTAACAAATGTTATATATATACCGAGTGAGCAAATTGTTGACACAAAGACGTTCCTAGTTGTGTTGGTTTGCAAGGCCTCAACTTCTATTCAGGGCGTGACTTCAAAACCCACTTGTGTGTTAAAGGCTTGTCCAATGTCAACACCAACATTCAATATCCCAATTACTTTCACAACCACAAACTGAAATATAAGTCCCCGATCACAAGGAATTAGTCAGATATTCAATTTTGCAAAAATAATACATCCAACTAACTCAATCAAAATAATTGCATCGAATTAATGATGTTCCTTGAAATTTCAATTTTGTCCTTGGGAGTAGGACAAAATTGAAATAATTAATGATGTCCCTATCTTCTTATTCAGCAGAAACTTCTCTTCAGATGACTTAAGGATACGAACAGTGGCATTGCATACACTTGAAGGGAAAATATTTATTGACGTATTAATCAATAAAGAAGTATTTTAAGACTCCAGATGACTTAAGTCAAGTACTCGGATCTGAATAAACAAGTGTAAATGCAACCAAATATTCATTACAGAAAATTCCATCCTTGCAATTATGTCAATTCGAAACAAAAGAAAAAGGGTCCCTGTAAATTGCATATATTCAATTTCTGATATTATCAATTAAAAAGACCAAGAAACCTCTCAATTTACCCTCTTTTTTTCTTTGCTTCGAATAGACAACAGTGGTTCTTATTTTCAAGGATGGAATTTTCTGTCATTTGCATGTGAAAACACCACTCCTCGAGTTTTATTATTATTATTATTATTTCCAATCACTTCTTTATTGATCAAAATGTCAATAAATATTCTCTTGATGAAGATGGTTAATTCGGAGTAATATTAAATAGTTATTTGCTATGTACACGTATATATGCAATGCCATTTGATCATGCCAGTCCATAAACAGATAGCTCTTTCACTTTCATAGATGGTTATTTAGCTTAAGAGGGCAAAGAAAGAATATTTTAAAACATTGGCAATACAAGGGCAATGCTCAATAACTGAATATGAAAATCTTGCACTGGCTCAATAACGAACGCTCCAAATGCTAAGGGCTGGGTGGTGCTGTATCATCCATGCTGAACCCAAGTTGAAGATATACAGAGGGGAGACCGCTCTTATGCTTGCCACATCACCAATTTAACAGACATCGAATTTAATGGCAATTTGACTTGAAGTTTCATGGTCTTTCTAATTAAAAGTATCAGACATCGAGTTAATCATATGTAATTGACAGGGAACCGTTTTTTCAAACTTAATTGCAAGGATAAAATTTTCTGTGATGATTATTTCTTTGCATTTACACTTTTTTATTAATCTGTTAGTGAGTTCTTGATTTATTCACCTCATGCCAGTCCATAAATAGATACTTGACACGTGTATTATCCCATCACTTCTACATTATTGATCAAAATGTCAAATAATATTAAATAGTTAGTTGACACGTGTACGTTATTGCTCAACCATTTGATCATGCTAGTCTATAAATAGATAGCACTCTAGCTTTAACTTTCATAGATGATTTTTTAGCAAAGAGTGCAAACAAAAGATATAAAAATATTATGGGGATTCACCTGTCGATTCACATGCTCTCGAAACTACTAGTTCTGTTGTTATTTCATCTTGTGGTTGCAAACTTTGTAGACTCTTTGCAGCAACTATCTTGCCATGCCGAGGAGAGCTTTGCCTTGCTGCAGTTTAAGGGGAGCTTTATGATAGACACATCTGCTTCAACTAATGACGGTGCTTATCCAAAGGTTTCATCATGGAAACCAACAGGAGGAGGAAATAGCAGCTGCTGCTCGTGGGACGGCGTGGAGTGTGACGAGATTTCGGGGCATGTTATTGGCCTTAATCTCAGCAGCAGTTATCTCTATGGCTCTTTCAACTCCAATAGTAGCCTGTTCAGCCTGGTGCATCTTCAAAGGTTAAGCCTTTCTGACAATAACTTCAATTACTCTCAAATTCCATCTAGCATAAGAAATTTTCCAAGCCTTAGTCATCTTGACCTCTCTGCCTCTTTCTTTTCTGGTCAAGTCCCATCTGAAGTCTCACACTTGTCCAAGTTGACATACCTTAATCTGTGTTGTAATATGCTTGAAAA